AATCGCTTGACTGGGTGTAGTTGTTTTTTGTTTTGGTTGCTGAAGTTCCCTTTTCCCCCCCCCTGCGTAAAAAGAAAAAAAACACCCCTTAAAAAAAAAAAAAAAAAAAAAAAAAGAAGCAAAAAGATAGCATGTGCAGTGCAGTGCCTCTAGCACAGTGTCTGTAATGATGGCCCAGCAACCCCCTTCTTCCCTTCCAGAGTTCAGCAAATCTGCATTTCCCTTCAGGGGATTCCATGGAGGTCATTTATCCCAGTCAGTGATCAGAGGACTGCCCCAGTGGACCAGAGCAGGGGGCCCAAGGCAAAGGATTTTTCCACTAACCTGGCTCTAGGCCAGAGAAAATCTGTTCTTCCTTAACAGTGTTTATCAAGACAGAAGAACAATAACAGGGACATTCAGAAGGGAACGAACATTCTTGAAGAAATTCCAGAAGAAATCAGTTCCAAGGAGGAAATGTCAGCTTCTCCAACAAATACTTTTTTTGTTTGTTTATTTTGTTTTGTTTTCTTGAGATGGTCTCCCTCTGTCACCCAGGCTAGCGTCCAGTGGCATGAACGTAGCTCACTGCAGCCTTGAACGCCTAGGCTTCCGCGATCCTCCTGCCTTAGACTCTCGAGTAACTGGAACTACAGGTGCAAACCACCATGTCTGGCTTATTTTTTTTTTTTAACTTTTTGTAGAGATGGGGGCTTTACCAGCCTTACCATGTTGCCCAGGCTGGTCTCAAACTCCTGTTCTCAAGTAATCCTCCCTCCTCAGCTTCCCAGTGTTGGGAACATAGGTGTGAGCCACCACATCCAGACTCTAGACACAAATACTGGTTTTTTTTTTGAGACATTTCTCTTTTGTCGCTCAGGTTGGAGTGCAATGGTGCTATCTAGGCTCACTGCAGCCTCCGCCTCCCAGGTTCAAGCGAGTCTCCTGCCTCAGCCTCCCTAGTAGCTGGGACTACAGGAGCACACCACCATGCCGAGCTAATTTTTTTTGTATTTTTAATAGACACAGGGTCTCACCAAGTTAGCCAAGGTGGTCTCGAACTCCTGACCTCAAGTGATCTGTCCACCTCAGACTCCCAAAGTACTGAGATTACAGGTGTGAGCCACCATGCCCACCCAGACACAAATACCTTGCTAAAGGCTTTAAATAAATTTTGGACCACTATAGCTTTCTTTTTTTTTTTTAGAGACAGGGTCCCACTCTGTCATGCAGGCTACAGTGCAGTGCAGTGTGTTCAAGCTCACTGCATCCTTGAACTCTTGGGCTCAAACAATCTTCCCATCTCACCCTCCCCAGCTAACTGGGACTAAAGGCATGGGCCACCATGCTCAGCTAATTTTTTTTTTTTTTTTTTTTTTGAGACGGAGTTTCGCTCTTTTTACCCAGGCTGGAGTGCAATGGCGCAACCCCGGCTCACCGCAACCTCCGCCTCCTGGGTTCAGGCAATTCTCCTGCCTCAGCCTCCTGAGTCGCTGGGATTACAGGCACGCGCCACCATGCCCAGCTAATTTTTTGTATTTTTAGTAGAGACGGGGTTTCACCATGTGGACCAGGATGGTCTCAATCTCTTGACCTCGTGATCCATACGCCTCAGCCTCCCAAAGTGCTGGGATTATAGGCGTGAGCCACCGCACCCGGCCCATTTTATTTCTTTTAAAGAATCTTTCACGTATCCTATCATACACATTTGTCCCCCAGGCTGGAGTGCAATGGTACGATCTCGGCTCACCACAACCTCTGCCTCCTGGGTTCAGGCAATTCTCCTGCCTCAGCCTCCCGAGTAGCTGGGACTACAGGCACGCACCATCATGCCCAGCTAATTTTTGTATTTTTTTAGTAGAGACAAGGTTTCACCTTGTTGACCAGGATGGTCTCGATCTCTTGACCTCGTGATCCACCCGCCTTGGCCTCCCAAAGTGCTAGGATTATAGGCGTGAGCCACCGCGCCCGGCCCATTTTATTTCTTTTAAAGAATCTTTCACGTACTTTATCATACACATTTGACCTCCTCCAACACTCTAAGTTCTATATAGGCAGGCAGGGACTGAATCCTCACTTTGGTACCCCTTGTAGTATATGACATATGTCCTATACATGTAGGCAACTCAGTTAATGTTTCAGATATTGAACTAAGAAGTCTGAAAGAAGGTTTCTTTCTCCACGGTGCAGAGAAAGATGATTTTTGTTGGAAAAGATTCATGGAGAAATTTTTTTTTTTAAGATGGGGTTTCACCATGATGGCCAGGCTGGTCTTGAACTCCTGACCTCAGGTGATCCACCCACCTCGGCCTCCCAAAGTGCTAGGATTACGGGTGTAAGCCACAGCGCCTGGACACATGGAGAAATTTCTTTCCTAAAGTTTGCCCTATTTTATGGATAAATGAATGCTAAATACCACAAATCTTTGTATATTGGTCCTGACAGGAAAAACTGGAGGTACTGAGTTAGCAAGCTTATTTCTTAGCTGTGTTTTTCTTATACAGAATACTCTCAGTTCACCCAAGCCTATTAAGAACTTTTGATTTCTGGCTGGGTGAGGTGGCTCATGCCTGTAATTGCATCAGTTTGGGAGGCTAAGGCAGGAAGATGCCTTGAGGCCAGGAGTTCCAGATGAGCCTGGTCAATATAATGAGCCCCATCTCTACAAAGTGTATTTTAATTTAATTTAATTTAATTTAATTTTGTAGATAGAGTCTCACTCTGTGACTCCAGACCCAGGCTGGAGTGCAGTGGCATGATCTCAGCTCAATGCAACCTCCACCTCCTGGGTTCAAGCAATTCTCCTGCTTCAGCCTCCTAAGTAGCTAGGGTTACAGACGTGCACCACCACGCCTGGCTACTTTTTGTATTTTTAGTAAAGATGGGGTTTTGCCATGTTGACCAGGCTGGTCTCAAACTCCTGACCTCAGATGATCCACCTGCCTTGGCCTTCCAAAGTGCTGGAATTATAGGCATGAGTCACCATGCCTAGCCCAAATATTTTTCAAATTAAAAAAATTTTTGGGCCGGGCGCGGTGGCTCAAGCCTGTAATCCCAGCATTTTGGGAGGCCGAGGCGGGTGGATCACGAGGTCAAGAGATTGAGACCATCCTGGTCAACATGGTGAAACCCCGTTTCTACTAAAAATACAAAAAATTAGCTGGGCATGGTGGCACGTGCCTGTAATCCCAGCTACTCAGGAGGCTGAGGCAGGAGAATTGCCTGAACCCAGGAGGCGGAGGTTGCGGTGAGCCGAGATCGCGCCATTGCACTCCAGCCTGGGTAACAAGAGCGAAACTCCGTCCCAAAAAAAAAAAAAAAAAAAAAATTTCACTCATCCTTCAAAGCCCAGGTGAGACAGTGAGACCCTGTCTCAAAAAAAGCTTTCCTGATTTCTCTAGTGTAATTAATTTCTTCCTCAATGCTCCCATAGCACTCATTTAATATTTATTACTTTCTACATTCAATTACTGTTATTACTATCATATTATTTCTATATTCTTTTATTATTATCATCTGTTTCCTTACCCTTTAACTCCTAGAGGACAGAGGCAACAATTTAGTCATTTTCCCCTCGCTGTAACTTGTTCAGTCCTTAGCACATAACAGACCATAAATGCTGAACTTAATGGAAAAATTAATTTTGAGCAGTCCTAGAAGAGTTAATACAAATTTTCTAAATCAAACTGAATTTGTTTGGGCCAGAGTTTGACAGTGGATTAAGGAAATCCATCTCAGGCTGGGAGCAATGGCTTATGCCTATAATCCCAACACTTTGGGAGGCCAAGCTGGGAGGACCACTTGTGTTCAAGGGTTCGAGGCCAGCTTGGGCAACATAGTGAGAACTTGCCTCTCCAAAGTATAATAAATTAGCCAGGTATGGGGGTGCATGCATAGTCCCAGCTCCTAAGAAAGCTGAGGCAAGGAGATCACTTGAACCCAAGTTGTCAAATCTACAATGAGCTGTGATCATGCCACTCAGCCTGGCATGGTGGCAGGTTTCTGTAGTCTCAGCTACTTGGGAGACTGAGGCAGGAGGATCACTAGAGCCCAGGAGTTCTGGGCCATAGTGTGCTATGCCCATCAGGTATCTACACTAAGTTCAACATTATGATGACCTCCCAGGAGCGAGGAACCACCACGTTGCCTAAGGAGGGGTGAACCAGCCCAGGTAGGAAACAGAGCAGGTCAAAACTCCCATGCTGATCAGTAGTGGGATTGCACCTATGAATAGCCACTATTTTTTTGTATTTAGTAGAGACGAGGTTTCACCATGTTGGTCAGGCTGGTCTAGAACTCCA